GAACCATTGAACAGAGAGTGGTGACATTGAACATGTGGAGAAAATTTATTCAGAAAAACACTATTCAATGATAATTCATCAATCATTTTGAAGCAACCACCGAAAAAAACAAATCAATATTCGATCACCACTACATTTTTACAGGGCGTGTATTGGTAAAAGCAACGGGCTGCATTTCTACAATTCAATAAATATCTGGAACTCCAAACAACTGTCTGTCAAACAAAACCAAAATCAGGATTTTTAATACACAAATGTCAAGACAGTTCTACTGTTCTACTGGAGAGGAAACTTCGAGAACTGCCAAAGCCATCATCCAGAAGATACAAGTGTTTATGAACAGTTGTCTACGCAAAATACTTCGGATTCGTTGGCCAGACACGGCGATCAGCAACAACGTACTGTGGGAGAGAACAAACTAGATTCCAGTGGAGGAGGAAATCAGGAAGAAGCGGTGGAAGTGGATAGGACACACACTACGAAAAGCACCTAACTGCGTCACAAGACAAGACCTCACATGGAACCCTCAAGGCAAAAGGAAAAGAGGAAGGCCAAGGAACACATTACTCCGAGAATTAGAGAAAGATATGAAAAAAATGAACAAAAACTGGGAGGAACTGTAAAGGGAAGCCCAGGACAGAGTTGGTTGGAGAAAACTGGTTGGCGGCCTATGCTCCATTGTGGGTAACAGGCGTAAGTAAGTAAGTAAGTACTACCTTTTACAGGTTGATGATGAATAAGGGATGATATGTCGCATATAAGGGAGAAATAGCTGTCGAATGCCAGTAGAGATTTTCAATGGTGCTGTCTGTCGGTCTCACTGAGACGACAACCAACCTGACTCAATCAATGTTTTTACACATTTGAACTCATCAATCAATCAATCAATCATTGTTAGACAGAGCACCAATTAGCAGAAACCTGGAAGCACTGTTTAAACGGCCGTTTCGTCCTCTGGTATGGGATTACTTATCAGCAGTGATAGTGCGCATCCACGACTGCTGCACTACCTCGCACGATTCGAACCCGGGACCTTCGGTATTGTGCACGAACGCCTAACCATCGGACCACTGGGTCGGCCGGTGGCATCCAACGGTGTTCATGTCTAACTCTGATTGATCTACGGATGAATCCCATGCACCAGGACGAAACGACCGTCTAAACAGTGCTTCCAGGTTTCTGCTAATGGTGCTCTGTCTAACAATCATTGATTGATTGATGATTTCAAATGTGTTTTTAATAACGTAAAACCTCCAAAACTCTGCCCGAGAATTGATCAGTGTTTAGACTAGTCGTTGGATATTTTTTTTGGGCGTTGGACAGTTTGTTTCGTCATAGAATGGGACTAGTCACCATCAGCCACGAGCGAGAGAAAATGCTTAACATATGATTTTGTAATGTCTGGGGGGAAAATTTGTAGTTCGGGAGGATGATTGTGTTGGAGTTTCATTGTCTAAGTTGAGGATGTTTTGATTGTGAAGCTTTCATTGCTATTGTTCTTCTGAATCAATCCAGATCGAAGCCTGAAGTTTGTGCTGACGATGATCTTGTCGTTAAGAAGAAGATAAACAATGATGAAGGCACCGCAACCAACAAAACATCCCCAGTCTAGAGAAAATGCTTAACCTTTAGACTACTATTAAGGCAGTTGGCATCCCATGGTGTTTCTGTGTGTGTATGTGTGTGTGTGTGTAGCTTTAATCAACCTGACTCAATGTCTTTGGTAAGTAACTGCTTCATACCTGCCTGACAGGGTTAAGCTCCATTAGTCTCAGTTTCTCACTAGGAAGAACATTGAGAGTTTTCATGACTGACTGATTGTTTCATCAGTCTAGTGAAACTTAAAAATCTCTACTCTTTATGTTGATTGACGTCACAGTGACAGTTTATAACCGCTTCGTTGCCATGGTGATTAATGAATGAACTTCAAGTGTTATATCAGACAACTGGATTAAGTCATATTTGGTAAGTGTAGACTATCTGGGTTAGGAATTAGTAACCGATGCGTAGAGACTTTTTGAATGATATGGCTCGAAATCGTTTGGGGCACCTCATGACCTTGATCTTTCTTTTTTGAATCGATTTCACTAGATTCTAACTTCTTGAATCATATCTTTGAACCCTAATCTTCTCTGATCACCACTGATACTTCTATTACTACTACTACTACTATGGAGATTTGAATTGTCAGTCAGATGCAACGTAGAACTTCGTACGTAAGTACACATCAGTGTTCATGTTGCCATGACACATCAGGAGCACAGAGATGTGATTGTCAATTCAAATCCAATAGTAGTGGAGGTAATAAAGGTTATGATTAGAAGATATTATTCAAGAAGTATGATTCAGTGAGATAAGTTTAGAAAGTCAAAACTAGGGGGTTGAAGAATCCAGAAGATTAGGATTTAAGAGAGAGAACACAAAGAACACAAATGCACCGGCGCCATTGCGAACGATTTTGAGCCATGTTATATTCAAGGTCTCTAACCATCGATTATTATCATCTCGCGGATCCCAACAACCAGGAGGTAGTCGTCAACTACCGACATGGCGTGTACTAATTTGGCAGAACAACTTGAACTCTAATGTATGTACGTAGGTAAGGTAGGTACATACTAAGATGTACGTTGTAGTTGATTGAGTGTTACGTAATCTAACATTTTGATCATTCCGGTATGACTCCACTTGTTCACGTCAATATTTTCCATTGTACATTGAACAGATTTGTTTAATTACGAGTAACAACAATATGCGATCACTTATTTCACTGTTTCAAATGTTCAATTCATCAAAATGAATGGTAATTAAGTGAACTGTATCGATCAGTTATGAGGGTTGAGTTTCTTGGAAATTATGAGTTGATCAGTGTTAGACTATAATTGGGCGACAACCGAGTAAGTAATGCTAGGAATTGTTAGGAATTGAGTACTAGGGAAGGATGGCAGATCAATAGATGAAATAGTGAAACTTCATCAGTTGAGGTGGTTGGGTTGAAACATGTGTTACGTATGCCTAACCACCGACTGTCTCGACGAGCGATGTTTTATGGTGTAGGGGGAGTAGGTTGGAAGAAAGTTAGGGGTGGACAAACCAAAACATGGCAGAAATCCATGAAGTCACTGACGAGTGGACTAAGTCATGGTTGTAGATGTGGACTAACTGGTTGGGGGTCCGCGATTCGAAAGTCACCAATCGTTAGAGACCTTGAGTGACATGGTTCATAATCGTTTGCAATAGCGCAGGTGCTGCCACTCTTTGAGTTCTCTGAAATTCTAATCATCTCTATCTTTCTCTTTCTAAAGTTATCGCACTGAATTGTACTTCTTGAATAATATCTTCAAATCCTAATCTTCTCCATTACTGCTAATACCTCTATTATCTTTATCACTATGGGGTTTGAATTGACAACTGCGTCTCTGTGCTGATGTGGTATGGTAACATGAACTGATGTACATACGTACGAAATTCTACGTTGTAGATGACTGACTGAATGAATGACTGCGACTATTATTAGAAATCTTGAGGTATTTAGACACAGTTATATGTATATATATATATATATATATATATATATATATGTGCCAGAGGACACTTCTGCAACTTGTACACATGAGACTCGTACCCAGTAGTGAGCCTTATTTCAAATCGTATTAAAAATTCCTCGCAGATTCCGTATCATTTAAAATTTGTTTGACATGTCAGTCAGTCAATCAGTCAGTCAATTAGTGGTACGTCTCTAGTTCAAGTTACTATTACGGAATTAACATAGACAATTTACACTTCATTTTAGTAGACTTAGTAGTAGTAGTGTGGTACGCGCTACTTATAAGTAGTATCTGACGTGAGTGTCAACGTAATGTCTAGCAACAGAAGACGATGGAGGAAGATCAAGAAAGGAAGAGTCAGGGGAACACAATGGAATTTGTATGAAACGCATGAATAGTGACAATGGATTGACGATGTTTTGCAACAGGAACAGTCCAGTTGCATAGGATGAACTGATTGATATTTTGCAAATTTACAACGATTTACGATATGGTTTTCCAATTTTACTGAGTAACTCTGTAATTTGCGATTAAATACAATTCGCGGTTGCTCTCACCACCTGTGTGCTTCTCCTTCACTACACTGTGATTTCCTTTATTTTTCCCATCTCCTGATCAATATAACCGAGAACACATTACTCAGTCGAATAAGTGATATCAACCAGATCAGTGAAATTTTAATCTTTACTAGAAACTAGTTCACAGAGATTAACACAGATTCAGTCAACCTCATATCTTAACTACTGAAAAAAAATATTCTAAAGTACTCGAAAGTGTTTATCACGTGATTTAGACATTATAATATTATGAAGATAACTCTAACTGGAGCCCCTTTGGGGCTCCGGATAAAAGAGGACTACTGGGCGTGGTGCTGGAGCCCCCGTCCCGCATTGAAAACTAACCCGTTAAAACAAAATCTGAACACAGAAAAAAAATAATTCATGCTTACGCAGATCGATGAATTTTAGACCAACATTATAAAAATATCGTAACAGTGCTCACTATTAGTGACTAGCTTCGTGAGGAATCTTCTCGGAGTTCTAGGTTGAGAAGACGTGCCCTAGTGGAGTTCAACCCTGTTGGGTATATGTAGGCAGTAACTACTACCAAAGACAAATGGGTGAGGTCGCGCGCAAAATCCTAAGATCAATCAAAGTTAGACATTAACACCGTTGGATGCCACCGGTCAGCTCAGTGATCCGATAGTTAAGCGTTCGGGCAGAATAACCGAAGGGTTCGAATCCTGCGAGGTGGTTCAGGAGTCGTCGATGCGCACTGTCACTGAGGAGTCCCATACCAGGACGAAACGGCCATCCTGCAGCGCTTCCAGGTTTCAAACGTGGCGGTCTAACCTAGACATCCGCCTTTTTTTTCCTACTATAGGATTACTCATTAGTGTCACTGAGCATCTACGACGACCCAGAGAAATGTAACACTCATCCATTCATCCAATCATCAACATATGACACATATTAAGAATTTTACAAAAAACTCACTTGTTCTCAACGACGAATGCGTTGATTTTTTAATTATCCTTTTATGATTACCAAACATTCGATGCATTGTTGCTATTAACTTTTTCAAATGTAACTTATTCATAAAATCCATCGTTAAGTGATCAGTTTTTCGCATAGTAACAATCATTAATAAAGTTTGTAAATATTTACGTAGACGTAATCGACTACTCTCTGCGTAATCCATACAACGTAATGCATGTGTTAAATATTGTCTCCATAGGTTATTCCTTTTACGTTTGTGCGATATGTATTGACGTTTGATACGCCGCGATGATGCTGATGTCGGCAGTGAGTGGATGATTACATGAGGATCAGATATATTGGGATGATCATCATTGTCTTCGGTGGCCTCGTCGTCGTTATCATTCTCAATATGGAATGATTTAATGGCTTCGTTCGAATCCGTTACACTACAATTCAATGTACTACTCGTACTACTGTTGAGCATAATTTTTTATGTGACCAAGATAGTAATAACCTAATTGAGTTATTCATATTTATATATATTTATATATATATTAATAACCGAAAGAATAACTTTTATCTTATTGCACATCAACTATCCACTCATATTCATTGTCTGTATGCGTGGTGGTGCGTGTGCGTATGTTCGTATGTGCGTGGCACACACACACACACGCATATGTGTATCATAACACATCTCAACAAGTTTTTTTTCACGAAAAAATATAACTATATATATGTATATTAGTTATTATTGAAAGGGTTATGAGAAATTATCATAATACGAGGGGGGAGGGCAGGAATTTTTATTTGGGGTAGGAAGTGTTCATGTGCGTGTGCGCGTGCGTGCGTGTGCATGTGTGTGTATGTGTAGCTACTCGTTTGAGCATACACGAACCATACGAATAATAATTGATAATAATCGAATATTCCGTTTTTATTCATAAATCATAATAATAATAATAATAATAATAGTAATAATAATAATAATGAGAACGATAAACAACCAATAGGAAAAGCCCATTTTCAAATCATCAACGTGAAAAAAAAACAATGAATATGAACCAATCATAATAACCGACAAATCATATGTCAGGACGAATATTATCTAATTGACCAATGTGGACGCATACACACACCACCACCACCACCAACCCCCCAGATCCTACTGTCATATTTGATAAATTATGATATATATGCATACAAATTTTGAAAAAGACAGACACTTATGCACACGCGTGCGTAGAGAAATTATGAAAAGGGATATTTTTAAAGAAGAATTAATAAGACACACACACATACACACAAGTTAACTTGTATGTGTATCAGTGTGTATGTGTGTGTGGATATCATGAAACGAACGTTTTTTGAATCAATTTCAACATACGTTTGAGTCTGTCTGTCTGTCTATCTATCGAGTTTAAAATTTGAATGGGGGAAAGTATAATTGATTTTATTCAATGTACGTGTGTGTGTTGGTGTATGAGAGAGATTATATGGGGTATAACAAATAGGCATATCGATTCATCCTACTGTTGAATGAACGAGCGAGCGAACGAGCAAGCGAGTGCGTACGCGCGTACACGCCAGAGACGGAGAGACGGAGAGAGGGGTTATGGATATTTCGAATTATTCTATAATTCACTGAGAGAAAATTTGAAAAAAAATCCGATTTATTGTTGACAGTGGAAAGAAAGGAAGATAGAAAATTGAAAAAAAACTTTGTTTTTTTTTCTAAAACAAAATATATATGTAAAATTAAATTAATTAATTTTTCAAAATTTAAAATTATGGAGATTAGAATGTGGTTTTCTTTTTTAACACGTTTGTTGAAAGCAGTCCACTATTAGAAATCGGGAAGCACTGAAAGATGGCCATTTCGTCTTGCCTGGTTTGGGAAGTGATTACTTACTTACTTACTTACGCCTGTTACCCCCAGTGGAGCATAGGCCGCACACCAGCAGCATTCTCCAACCAACTCTGTCTGTCCTGGGCTTCGCTTTCCGCCAGTTCTGTCCAATGTTTGTTCATTCCTCTCATATCTTTCTCTATATCTCGGCGTAATGTGTTCCTTGGACTTCCTCTTTTCCTTTTGCCTTGAGGGTTCCATGTAAGGGCTTGTCTTGTGACGCAGTTAGATGCTTTTCATAGTGTGTGTCCTATCCACTTCCACAGCACTTCTTCCTGATTTCCTCCTCTAGATAGCAGAAGTGAAGTATTCGAATATCTTCACGTTTGACCTGTAGCTTGTGTTCTGCTAACCTCGAGGATAATGAACACTGAAGAATTTTTAGAAGTTTGGCTGGTACTCAGATCAATCAGCAATCAATAAACACATCAACATTGACCTAATTTATCAACCAATCAGAAAAATCATAGGCAAACATAACATCAAGAAACAGATCAAAAAAGGGGGATACACCATCAAACACAACAAAGGTGCAAACAACGACAGGTTTCAGGTCAACAGTGCACAACTAATCATGATTGAGGTTAGCAGAACACAAGCTATGGGTCAAACGTGGAGAAATTCGAGTGCTTCACTTCTTATATCTGACAATGATGTTGTCGTTCAGACGAAGAACAAGGATGAAAGCTCCTCAACCAAAACATCATCCAGCTCAGAGAACCAAACACCACCGCTACTCATCAGTAGCAGTGCGCATCTATGACTCCTGTCTTGTTGCAGGATTCGAACTCTGGACCTTTGGTATTGTGCACGAGCGCCTAACCTTCGTGATAGATTTATGAAGATTACTGAGTTTCATTGAAAGCATAAATCGATAAAGGTTAGACTACCACATTAGATAGTTAGGAACACCAAACGGCCATTTCGTCCTTGTATGAAACTCATCAGCAGTGCGTAGCCATGATTCCGGCTGGCTGGGATTCGACCAAAGATCTCCGACGTATGGACTACTGATCTGTGACATTCAACGGTGTTAATGTCATAGAAACTTCAAAACTCTATAGTGAAATAAAAAGTCCTCAAATGTGCTCACTAATGACTACTTACCTCGTGAGAAAATTCTCGGAGTTCTAGTGAGAAGCTACGTGACCAGTAGAGTTCAAACCACCCCAGGTATAAGCAGTGGCCTACGAAAAATTGCACAATACCTTGGACTGCTAAAGATTAGATACTTACACTGTTGGATACCAGCCGACTCAATTGTCTAGAGGCTTCGCATTCACATGTAGAATTTCGTTCTCTGAACTGGACAGTGTGGTTGTAGAGCTGTCTTCATTGTTTTTCTGAAAAACATCATCGTCAGTACAAACTCCAGGTAGACAGAAGTGAAGTATTCGAACTGCTCCACGTATGACACGTAAATTCTAATTCTATTAACCTCAATCTTGATTCCTTGAACAAGAACAGCTCAGTAAACAAAACTCTACCACAATCATCCTCCTGAACTACAAATTCTCAGCAGACATCTCAAAAAATACATTTCCCGTTAATCACTCTTGAGGACATTACCACCTTTACATATCTGGACGTCATCATCGACAATCAAGGTAGATCCGACGCAGATGTGAGGGCGCGGATTGGCAAAGCAATGGGCTGCATTTCTACAATTGAAAAATATCTGGAACTCCAAACAACTGTCTGTCAACCAAAACCAAAATCAGGATTTTCAATACACAAATGTCAAGACAGTTTTACTGTATGCAGCGGAAACATGGAGAACTACCAAAGCCATCATACAGAAGATACAAGTGTTTATGAACAGTTGTCTACGCAAAATACTTCGGATTCGTTGGCCAGACACGACGATCAGCAACAGCGTACTGTTGAAGAGAGAACAAACCAGATTCCAATGGAGGAGGAAATCAGGAAGAAGTGCTGTGGAAGTGGATAGGACACACACTACGAAAAGCACCTAACTCCGTCCCAAGACAAGCTCTCACATGGAACCCTCAAGGCAAAATGTAAAGAGGAAGGTCAAGGAACACATTACCCCGAGAAATAGAGAAATATATGAGGCGAATGAACAAACATTGGACAGAACTGGAGGAAAGAGAAGCCCAGGACAGACAGAGTTGGTTGGAGAATGCTGCTGGTAGGCGGCCTATGCTTCTCTATTGGGGGTAACAGGCGTAAGTAACTAAGTAAGTTATTACTAATAATATTTAAATTATACGCATAAAACCATATTTGGTTAAAACAAATATGCAAATTCTCCATTCTGATTGGTTGATTCTGATCAATGTTCAAATTGTTTTTTCTGCTAACTAAAACAAAAACTTTCTATGATGGGAAAAGCAAATGTTCAATTTATTGGGGAAAATTAATTTTTAAACATTTTTTCCTGCTCAAAAATTGTTTTCGTTTATTTTTCGAAAAAAATTAGATTTTTTTTAAAAAAAAACAATCTTTGATGAATTTAAAAAAATAATATTGATTGAAACATTGAACAAGTTTGAAAAAAATAAATTTTGAACAGACATAAATGACTTCTATTTTCGGGCAAAGAGTTTTTGGAGGCTTTGTGTTATTAAAAAAAACACATTTTTGAAATCATCAATCAATCATCGTGGTTAGACAGAGCACCACTATTAGAAAACCTGGAGGCACTACAGAACGGCTGTTTCGTCCTGGTATGGGACTTGTCAGCAGTGCGCATCCACGACTACTGCACAACCTTGAATGATTCGAACCCGGGACCTTCGATATTGTGCGCGAACGACTAACCATCGGATCACTGGGCCGGTGGCATCCAACGATGTTAATATCTAACTCTACACCCGAAACGGTGCTGACTAACTTTATGAGGAAATTCCCGGTGTTTTAATGTGAGAAGACATTAACAGTGGAGTTCAGTGCCATGATAATAGGTGAGGTTTCGTAAGATCCTTTGAGTGATCAAAGTTATAAGACATTAACACTGTCAGAAACTGGCTTATAGTCCAGAGGTTGAGCATTCGCGTACGCAAGACTAAATATCCTGGATTCGTATCTGTCGAGAAGCAGGAATCGCGCACTGCTACTGATGAGTCCCGAGTAAGTAAGTAAGTAAGTAAGTAAGTAAGTAAGTAAGTAAGTAAGTAAGTAAGTAAGTAAGTAAGTAAGTAAGTAAGTAAGTAAGTAAGTAAGTAAGTAAGTAAGTAAGTAAGTAAGTAAGTAAGTAAGTAAGTAAGTGGCGAAGTAAGTAAGTAAGTAAGTAAGTAAGTAAGTAAGTGGCGAAGTAAGTAAGTAAGTAAGTGGCGAAGTAAGTAAGTAAGTAAGTAAGTAAGTAAGTAAGTAAGTAAGTAAGTAAGTAAGTAAGTAAGTAAGTAAGTAAGTGGCGAAGTAAGTAAGTAAGTAAGTAAGTAAGTAAGTAAGTAAGTGGCGAAGTAAGTAAGTAAGTAAGTGGCGAAGTAAGTAAGTAAGTGGCGAAGTAAGTAAGTAAGTGGAAGTAAGTAAGTAAGTAAGTAAGTAAGTAAGTAAGTAAGTAAGTAAGTAAGTAAGTAAGTAAGTAAGTAAGTAAGTAAGTAAGTAAGTAA